ACTGATTACTATAACAATCAATAAACTGCCCTTGCGTTTGCAAAGATGCATCGATTGCATGGGTGATTACTTTGATTAATAGAAATAAAAATATAGCAAAAAAATTACGTTAACTTATCTCATAGAAAACGGCAATTTCATAGGTTATGATCTAATATCCACCACCTCATATCGTACCGTGGGTGTCGTAAGAGGTGACAGGGGCTCACTGAAACAAAAGTCGGGCAGCAGCATCTTCGTAATAACAACTCAAAATTATAAAAAACTGCGCTTGCTAACCCGCTTGCTGAGCGCGACAACTATGGCGAAATCCTAACAGGAATTTTTTGGGACCTGTGCGTGTCGGATTACAATCCCACGGACCATGAGAATGAGATAATAGATCGAGTGTATACGCAAGTGCAACTGCGCTTGCGTATACACTCGGGCAGTATAATTTTGTCCTGTACAGAGGGCTAGTCTTTTCTGAGATTGGCCGCCGTGATCGAAACTCGATCTGGAGGACAATAAATTAAATTAAAAATTACAGCTTATTCAATACGATGGCTACATGCATTTATTAAATTTCAAATTAAATTACTGCTAATATTTCTAGTGCTCTCGTTCAAGGAAGAGCTAGTCTTTACAGTCAAACTACGTTCTCAAACTCTGATATGATTTTACCAGTCTGCTTAACTTTAATGAACTTTATATAAAGTCATATTTGATAAAAATACCTTATGTCGACTTGCAAAATTATATCTTATTATAAAGCCTTAAAATACGATAGTAAAACATCAATTTAATATAAACTGAATATTTAATAAAAATAAAATCCCACATTTGAACATAGTCATCTCATTTCATTTCGGAAAGGGTTTTCGTATTTTTTTAAAAACAAGAATAACTTAAGCAAAAGTACGTGCACTGCAATGTTTGCCTGAAGTGTTAAAATACCAGCATATAACTTAGTCCTCAGAAGTGACGAAGGCTTCTGCAGCCTTCTTTGTTTGAAGTTATTTTCTGGTGTCCATGGACTACGATAGCCACTTACCGTTAGGTAGACTGCAAGTTCGTTTGGCTCTTTGGCTAAATAAAATAAAATGGAATTATTAAACAATTTAAAACAACACCATTGATCCTAATGCCCGTCGCCGATATGGGTACAGAGCCTTTAGCGTTACAGCATATTAAGGTTTAGTGCTAAATAAATACATCAAGGTCTAAAAGGAGGGATATTCGCTACAGTTGCCACGCTTAGCAAGCGGGTTGGCAATCGCAGATTTTAGTTTGAGTCGTTATAAGGAAGATGCTGCTGCGCATCTCCTGCTTTGTTCCGCTCTGTCGCCTCTTACGACACCCACGGAATCATATGAGGCAGTGGATGATCATACAACACCACTATATTTGTACATAACGGCTGCCTTAAATAATATTTTATCGCATTCTATCGAAAGCTATAGGATTTTATCAGTATTAACTAAAGTCAAGTTTTAAAAAACTCATTGGACGTAATGAATGATTGATTCTGCTACGCTACCACCACACGGTATTCCGTGTGATATGTAAGTACCATATATGTGATTGCAACTGAAATATGAATCAAGCCCAGTCAAAGTCAAATAAACATTTTGTTGGAAATCAAATTATACCATTTATAAACTCTATGTCTGAAAGTTATGAAAGACAAAGTGCACTGAAATTGCTAGTTTGAAAGTTTCTCATCCGCGAAGTTTGATCTAAGTTCTCTCTTTGTTGGAAAGGAAAGCTCAATTGGTGCAAATATTTCTGACTTTATCACTTGATATCATATTTTTTTTGCGATAACTTTTATTAGGTTTCCAAGGAGAGCTTTTAATTTTGTTTTCTCTGTCTGTTTTAACGTGTCAACGATTTTAAGATAAGATAAGATAAGATAAGTCTAGCAGTGGTGAAAGACGTGGTGTTGTAATAGGGGACAAAGGGAAATAAACCAGGAAATGAGCAGCAAAATAATCAAGTGGCAACTTTGGCAAATATCATTGCAGCACTTCACCACTCTCTTGCTGAACCTATTTTAATACGTTAACACATGGTCTGTGTGCCAATATTATCCCAAATACCTGATTTAGCAACAAACCTTGAACCAAGATGTGTCATGTAGTGGTGGTGTAAAAATATCCACTACTCCATATCGTCACGTGGCTGCCGTAAAACGTGGCAGAGGCAAAAACCAAGAGTTTGGTAGCAGCACTTTCGTAATAAAAAACTGAGTAGCCCATTGCCACTTCAGTTTACTGATCATTTTGGCTATGTCACTTACTCTGAATCTGCTACAAATATTCTCATTTAGAACGCCGAGTAACAACTAAAAATAAAAACCTGCGGTTTCCAACTAGCCCGCTAAGTGTACTAACTATGACAAAATATCTCCTACGAGGGGAAGGCCTATGTTCTGCAGTGGAATTTTATATGCTGCCGAAGATGCTGCTGATCCTCGGTTTCCTCTATTTTCTGAGAGAATATTGGTGGAGTTAGTTTGTCGCTGTACTACAATTCATGTTGGCAGACTTAACTTTCTCTCAAAATGTTTTATTTCTCAGAAAAGAGATCTGTCTCCCCATTTACTTCATCTATACCGAGCAGGTGGTAGATTAATCATGTGGTCCCAGATTATAAATCCGGGTTCCCGAGTCGAGTCAAAACTTTTTTTTTGAAGATAAAAATAATATCTTACTATCATAAATTAACAACATAAATCAAATAAAAAATGGCTTGGTAGAGATTACCTCATTGCCAAGGGTTATTATTTTGAACTTCGTAGCAGTCAAATATTGTATATTTTCTCATACCTATACATCGCCCCAAGAATGTAATACTGATTCAGTGGAGTCGAGTAACTGGTACTACTTAGCTTGTCTGTTCCTAGTATTTACAGAATGAATATCGCTTATTTTTATAAAACTACTTTTATTTTTGTGTACATTACTTTTTTCGTAATTTATTGAGAAGTCAAATTTAATATATTATTTTTCTCAAATTTTGTCTTAGCGACTCTTTACGTTTTTAGTCATGATTTGCTCTTATGATCCTCTTCTGATAAACAAATACAATTTCAGTGTCAGTGTCCCCAAGCGCGTATCCAAATACCATGCGTCATTATGCTATGGAAATAGCTAAAGTAAACTATTCTAGCTGTTTCAACAGGTAATATTTCCTACTTTTTTACAGCATACTCTACAGAAATATGTCTGCTTGCTGGTTTTAAAAGATAGAGAAAAAAACGTAGATCCAAAGTGCAGCTATATTATGGTTGTGGCACGAATGGGTCAGCTGGACCGAGGGACGACCTCGCTCTCACAGAATACCAGCGTAAAATAGCACATTAATGCTGCATTGTTTATATGGTGAGTGTAAAGAACGAAGACCTTATTTAGTGAAAACGAAGCATTACATCTCAGACCTCATGGATGATAACGTATCTGTTTTGGGCATCGACTTAACATCAGGTGAACTGGGTTTCGTTTATCGAAATTATTCTATAAAGAAATAAAGACTTATAGTATCTTAGATTTTTTTATGATGTCGCCGGGGATTAAACTCGGATCGTTCAGAAATTCGAGTTCACACGGCTTCAATGACAAGTTTAACGTTTGTATATTTTGTCTTGATGTTAATCGGATGGAACTTGTGTCAGAACTTCCGTCAGGCGTTCGCAATTATGTGTAGCTTTGTCCTAAAGTTTCGAGTATGTTTGTGACAGACAGACAATTACAAACTTTGTATTCTCTTGACTTGTTAGGTTCGAAAACCATTCATTGTTCTACCTTTACTATTACGCTGAGGTGGCATAAGAGTACCCATTTCCCGTGGGTGGGGAGAATATATTTTTTTACTATAAATATTTTTCAAAGTAACTACCGCAATCGTTACATACTAACAAAGTCCACTGCTGAACGTAGGCATCCCAATATATTGCCTCATGGGACGGATATTGTGACACAGTTGTTACACTTGGTAGACGGGTTGGCAAGCGCAAATTTTTATTTGTTACTATGAAGACGATGATGCCCATCTCCTGGTTAATTTCCCTATGTCGCCTTTCACTTGTATTTTTATAACCTTTATTTATAATTATGTCATTCATATGTATCGGAAACCATATAGGGGAAAATAAATTGATCGAATTTTGTGAGTGAGTCAGTGGATATTGACTCGAATAATTTTGTAGTATTTAGTCAACCATGAAACTGAATTGGTCAATTTTGATAGAGACATAACTCGGCCGGCTTGAATGAAAATATCCATTACATTTAATGTCGTATAGCTTTCATATAAAATTATTTTTCGTGATTTATAATTATAATGATGTCCTCATAGCTCATGTTTCCGTCCGTAATGAGAAGCTTAAGTTTAACAAAAGAACCTTCTAGAAAAACAGCCGAGTAGTGGAGGTGAGAATCCACTACCCAATATCATCCATCCAGTTGCTGTTGTCAGAGGCGACAGATGGAAATTGAACGCGAGATGGCCAGCAACATTACCTTCACAACAACTCAAATTGATACAAAACTACGGTTGCCACCACTCTGTGACTATGGCAACTATGACAATTATCCAAATATCCCTCAAATAGAAGAATCCTGTGTTTAGCTGTGGACTTTTGATAGGCTTTAACCCGACGTCATTGAGATTGGGTCAAAATGACCCAGCGTGTTTTAAAATGCATATATTTTTGTCAGTACGCGTAAAATGCATATATTTTTGTTAGTTGCCTTTCTTCTCAGTAGCTGGCGTCAACGATATGTTCTATACATTTTTAAACAGAAATCAGTCTCGGGACAGCCGCACTGGGAGCTACAGGTGCATAATTCTCTAAAAGGTAAATATGACCCATCCTCACAACTGACGTAACAGTTTCGAGCTTCTTTTAACTTTAGACTTTTATTAATAAATTTTGTTTGATGGTAATAAATTGAGTTACTTTTGCGTTTTATGGAATTTTTTTCATAACCAATCTTTCATTTCCTTTTTAAAGTATAATGGATCGAAATAGTCAAAGTATTTTGTCAATTCTTGAGGAATCTGATTTAGACAAAAACTCATCTGATAACGATGAATTGGATAAAGAGGATCACGTGAATGTTTGTAGTCAGGCAATCGATACGGAACAAGAAAGCTCAGAAAGTGATGACGATAATGTCTCGCTGAGTAAAAATAGAATGGAGTTGCAATCCAGCGCGTCTTCGCTGCAACAACAGCCAGAAACATCTTCAAGGCGTGAGGTAGGTCTACAATATTTTGGTAAAAATGGGACAGTTTGATTTAAAACACCATTTCGGTACAATTTGAGGATGAGGGCCAAAAATATAATCACACTGTTGCCAGGTGTGACACGAGAAGCTAAGTGTATTACATCTGAGTTTGTAGTGAATGTCGCCGATGATCTTTGCGCAACATAATAACGAGTGCCGTAATTTCAAAAGATGGCCCTTTACCGTATTTTATGCTATATTGAATATGTCTAGGGTTAGCGGTGCTATAATACAGAGTGCAATGCACAAAAACACCGTAAAACAACGCATACTTGGCAAAGTTGCTACAAATATATTTGTCCCAGCACATCGTATCTTTCTGCAGTGATTGTGAAAACAATGACGATTCAAATTAACTTTTTTATACTTATTTTCGAATAATTATTAGTGGAATATATTCTAAGTGTCATTTGTAACAAAAAGACTAGTAATTTGTTAGATAAGTGATGAAACTGTAAGGGATGTCAATTTTGTTAACGTTTTTGTGAGTTTATGGAAAAGCTAAAAATCTAGAATAAACGTTTGATAATTATAAAGTTTATTCTTTTATTTATAAGTTCATAGTACAAATAGATCATATAGAAATATAGATTACCGAAAATTTGAATAAACACGTCACACCTCAACGTCCGTGTTACAATTTTCTACCACAATGACGCCGGGTTAATGTCTTTTATGAAGAATGATTCGAGGAAAACAATATATAATTTACTATGTTACTAGAACTTAGTCTTTACACGGTCACGAAAATATTCATTTGACAGTCAAAAGTGACGGATATATCTCCAACCGGGTAACGCGACAGAGTATTCTGTCTCAGTCTTCAGGGTCTACGACCACCCCCGAACGGGTTCCCGCCTTGTCGTGGCGGTGTAGCCGTAGCCGTGTAGCAGTAGCCGTGGCTTGGTCTCCCACGGTGAACAAAGAGGAACCCACGTGACTGGCCCGAGGTGAAGGGCCGGCCTTCCACTTCCTTCCACTTCGGATGTGTGCTGGTGGACTGCAGCGAGTGGGGACTCTGCACCCTCTACCGCTGCAGCCGAGGTGGAGGCGCGGAGGAAGAGGAGTGTTGGTATGGCGATGCGCCACTCGCCCTATCCTCCGCGACTCAAACGGGGCCGCACCGTTGATGCGGTGGTGATGGGGCTGCGGGGGGAGAGGATTGTCGGTATTGCGAGGCGCCGCTCTCCCTATCCTCCGCAGCCGAATCTTGGTTGGCGGCGGAGCCATAGACCAGATCCGCCGCTGGGGTCGGGAAGGCTAGTACTTCTAAGTGCTCGTTTTTCCTGGCCCTATGACCTTCGCCCATCGGACGCGGGGGCGTCTGTTGCGCAGATGCAATTGGAGGCCGTGGAGGAAGGCGTGCCATGTGTTCTGGTGCGCCTTACTTGGGAAGGAGAACGGGGAGGAATATTCCTCTCCCGAGGAGGTGCTGCCATGGGGCGGCAGTCGCTGGTAGGGCCGCGGAAGTGTGTGAAAGCGTTCCCGTAACCCTGCCAATATGCGACGAAGGTGGAACACCATGGGGTTTTGGTCGGTGCGAGTCCGACATAACCCGTATTTGCCCCCGCGAGGCGGGTATGCGTAGGCATTTCCCCATGTTAAAAAATAAAAAAAGGGTCTACGACGAATCTGTGTTTTGATTTTTTTCCAGTATAGATTTCGATGTCCAAAGTTCATATCATCCACTTACTACCTACTCCCTAGAATCATAATAACGTATTTTGTTAAATTCTAATAGTAATTAATACCTATATACCAACTCTGATTCGCCTGGGTAAGATGAATTAATGTGGCTTTATTTAGATTTAAGATCGAGCACTTTACAGCAGTCCCCCGTAACTACGGGTTTTTTTTTTATAGGACAAGGGTAACAAACTAGCACACAGTCCACACCTGATAAGTGGTAAGTGATTGCTTTCCCCATAGACATCTACATCTATCCTCGATTAGGAATGATGCGTTGTCATCTGTGAGGACTAAGATAGAATACCCGTTTCCAGATGATCTTTTTATCAATTTTCCCTAAAAAAAATCAATTATTAAAATCAGACAAAATTTTGTAAAGTTTTTCATGTCACAATGGCCTGCAGATAACAGCCGTAGCTCAAAATAAGGCAGTTATTTCGATATAATGGACCGACACTTCAAACTAACACTAATTTGCTTTCTACAAAACTAATTTGTATTATATAATGAAAAATATAAAAATAATATGTCATCACTTGTTTAAAGACTAAAGCCTTTTCGAAGGGAAAATAGTTGTCAGGGTTAGAAAATTAATGTGATTGTACGCATCAACGCACAAGGACTCTTTACTAATTTCAAAATGTTCAGTGAAACGTGGAGCTCGATCCGCCGAACTGATCACCACACTTTGACAAGCACAATTTAAAAAAAAATATTTAAATTATATAAAAAAAACATATAGTACAAATCCCTTCTATAGTAAAGATTTATGTTCAGTGGGGAACCATCTTGTATTTATTTATGTTATGTTTGTTTAAGTACAGTCCTTATCACCACGGATAAAGGTCAAACTTACTGCCTATATACATTCCACTGTTGGGCACATGCCTGCTCCCATTTCTGAGAGATGTAGAGGGACCTGTGATAACTTAGGGTTCTGGCGGCGCTGTCGTCGCGCCGCAATCGAAACACACCGAAGCCTTAATCACGCTATCAAAATTCCGAATCATAAACATTATATATAGAATATCTCCGAACTATAACACGGAGTGTTGGCCGCTTACCGGGCAGAACACTTTGCCCGGCGGGAGATCCCCCTTTTTCTTCCACGGCCACAGTGGTGACCCCGACGTGATCTGAACACGCAACCAACAACCTTCGCAAACTTCAAGCTTCATCATCGTCATAAAATACCCCGCCCATTCGCTCCCGAGCAGATATCGTCTGCTGTCTTCATATCCTGCAAGCCATCTAGCTTCACAAGGTTCATCGCAGCATTGGAATAATAATGCTTCCTGTTCCTTCAAGCTACTCTCTGCGCTATACAGTGTTCGGCGCGGCTCTGAGCCTTACTGCTCGCCTCTGCTTCACGGCACTCTCGCAGATTACTTGCCTTCTTCTCGACTCACCGCAGACTACAAGGCAATCCACTGGCACATACACATTCGTCGGCAAGGAGGCTGCACTTAGACCTCCGGTCTGAGTAGGGGGTGATGCGGCGGCGCTGCCGTCGGGCCGCAATCGAAACACACTGAAGCCTTAATCACGCTATCAAAATTCCGAATCATACACAGTATATATAGAACATGTCCAAACTATAACACGGTGTTGGACGCTCCCCGGGCAGAACACCTTGCCCGGTGGAAGATCTCCCCCTTTTCATTCCTTCTAAGTCCACAGAAGTGACTGCATCTTGATTACCTATCGAGGATAGATAGAGATGTCATACCACCAGGTGGACTGTGTGATTGTTTATTTCCAACATACAAAGCAGCTTAAAGCTGTTATGTATGGTGAGTAAAGGGAACCGAAGACACTCTTTACATTCCATCATAGATAGGGGTGTAGAAGCATTTAAAACTTTGACTTTTTTATCGAGTATAGGTTAGTTGTCTATGGTCAAAGGTCACTTATCGGAAGGTGGAGTGTGTTCGATTGTCATACTTATTGCTTACTTATATAAAAACACTTTTATAGAGCAAACTAACCTTAAATCTCGACGTAATAATATCTTCCAGACCTAATTTCGACTATAGAGGCCGGTTTCAACAGAGACTAGCCGTTTGAGCAGGCCGAATTATAGTGCCCAAATGTATGCGTAAGCACAGGTGCACTATTTAATCACTCTCATAGTTCGATAAACGGTAATCCTACACTACCGAAAAGGTTTATCTAAAAGGTAAGGTAAACTTTAGGTGCTTTCCGAGGCACGGAGGGGGGGGGGGAACAAACACCGCCGTCTTTCTTACTCCGGGCTACTACTGAACACTTCTTGACAGAAAAACCCAATGACCATTTTTTGTCCGACCCGGAGTCGAACACGGGACTCAATAAACAGCAACCTTGTTTACGACCACTAGACCAACGCGGTGGTTAAATAGTATCTATCCAAAATATGTCCCTCAATTTGGTACATGCACTCGTGAAAATCGAATCCTATAGCTCCCTGAATACAGCATCCGTCGGTACAATCATTAACGTGATACTGTGCGATAAAGATATATCAATCGGCGACCGAGCTTATCAAACGGATACGCCATTGTTTTCGATATTGGCAACCTTCCACGAAACAGTCTATTAGGCTGATCCTTATATATTGAGAAAAGGCAAAGTTATTTACTCATTTTATTTCTACTTGATTGCATTAGTCCATCCATTACAGCCTATGAAAGTTCACATCTAAACTCAGGCTTCTCCCATAGTTTGCTTCATAGGCAGGATTTTGCCATAGTTGCCACGCTGCATAAGCGGGCTTATTATATTGAGTTGTTATAAGGAAGATGCTGCTGCTCATTGTCTGTTTTCTATACCCTCTTCCCTGGAATCGCTTTATATCTGTTCATAAAGTTTCATTACAATCGGCTCAGCCATTAAGAAGATTAGCCCGGACACACAGTCCAACAGGCAAATATTAAAAAAAAAATAGTTATGTTATTAATAGACTAATAACAGTCTTAATATCATGCAAATAACCCTCAGTACTTTAAAAGATATGGAATAATCTCGCGACAAACTTTTGTATTATATAAATTGTATAATGTAATAAGTAGAAAGGTTTGACTTAATTTAAAGACTATTTTCTTTTTTTTAGAACACTTAAATAAAAGCTTGTTTTAAAAAATTATTTTTCTACTATTATTCTATTTAATCGTCAGATAAACGTTAACCATTGAATAAATTGCAACCTGACTAAATATACAAGTCAAACGATTCAACATTTTATTTAAAAAAAAAACTGTTACTTTTAATATATTAAGGTTATATTTTACTATATTAGACCGAGGATTGAACAATTGGCCTTCGTTGCTTATATAAAAAAA